GGATAATCCCAACTCTCTTGTTGTGGATATTGTAGCCTTTCTCGAATAACTGACTTAAACTCAGAATGTTACTCTTTAAATCTGGCACATAATAAACATTGCCGATATATTGTTGTTCTCCATTCTTCAACTTAATGCCGATAGTTCCTTTGCCTTTCATGGGTCTCTTTGTTGAATCTCCAAAGGTGACTTCGCCTTGCTAACTTTCGTCGAGTGTTGCGAACAATTCTCTCTTACCGCACATATGATTGCTGGTACCAAATTCATGGTATGATAAGCTGTTCTAATTTGCTTCACCACTATCATTATATGTCAGTAGGATGGCAGAATCTTGTTTAACTTCACAGTAATTGACTTCATTTTCTTCATTGTTGGTATTTCAATACCAACATTCTATAGCATAATGTCCAAATTTTTGACAAACATGACATTGAATTTGAGATTTGTCATACCTTTGTAGTCTTATGTATCGACCTCTTCCTCGACCTTTGACTGTTTATTGTTGGTGTTCAGCAATCTCCATAATCCTGTTGTTGTGGACGATGTTGTTGTGGACGTCTTGTACTATTATACGGGGGATATCTTCCTCTTCCTTGTTGATTTGAGGTTTCCCTTCTTCCTTTTATCGAAAGCTTTGTTTGGAGTGCTTGCTCAAGGGAACTTGATGCAATCTTCTTATTGATTCTTTCCTCGTGAATTTCTAACGATGCTTGCAATTCATCGAATGTCAAGTTGTTAAAATCCTTTGATTTTTCAATGGCAACAGCCACATGTTCAAATTTTGAACTAAATGATCTAAGTATCTTTTCAATAACCCGAATTTCTTCAATCTTGTCACCGAGTATTTTAACTTGGTTAACAATAGTCAAAGTTTTGGTAAAGTATTTAAAAATTGACTCATTGTCCTTCATTGGCAATAATTTGAATTCTCCCCGTAAGACTTGGAGTCGAATCCTTGTGGTTTTCTCATTTCTTCAGTTTGCCTTTTGAAGAGTTTCCCATGCTTCTTTTGATGTGCTTGCGGTGGAGATCTTTTCGAAAGTAGTTGGATCCTTAGTTGCAGGAATCGTGCAACCAGGACACGAATCTTCGTAAGAAACGCGATTCCGCGTTTCTTAGAAAGAAATGTGTAAGAATCGCGTTTCTGTAGAGAGAGAAACGCGATCCTGTCCAAGATGGGATCGTTGGTGGCTGTGAACAAAAACCCTAACTTGTTGGTCAACAAGGAGAGAGGGAAGAAAGAAGGTGAAGTACCTGAAGGTCAGATCGTCCTGCTTCTTTGCTTCGTTTTTCTTCTCTCTCTGGCAGATCGTCTCTCTCTCTCTCGCTCTCGCAGATCTTCTCTGGCAGATCGTCTCTCTGGCAGATCGTCTCTCTATGGCAGATCGTCTTTCGTCTCTCTCTCTAGAAAGAAATTAGCTCACACAAAATATTGATGCAAGCAGCTTCCTCTGAGGTGATTTTGATGGTGCATCTTCTAGACAAAGAAAATTATTTCCTGCAATATATGCAAGTGAATTTCAAATGAATATATATATATATATATATATATTATGTTCTATAATTTATTACAATGATTACATAATAACACATTATCTACACTATATATATACATTTTTTCATTTTTTATTTGTAAATTCTTAAGTAATACTCGTCTCTCTCTCTCTAGACACAGACACAATCACTGATGGATTGAAACACTACATAAATAGATAAAGCACATATATAGTGAAAGACATTAAGGTGTTAGAAAACAATTTTAGCTAAACAATGGCAATGGTGAGGAGTTTTCCCTCAGTGATGTAGTAAAAAAATGAGCGATAAAAGACTTGATAGAGGGAGAAGTGGAGGAGGTGGTTGATGTGTTGCGATGTGATGCATTTGGGACCCTGATGGAAACATTATCCAAAATCAACAGCAACTATTGAGAAACTGAAATTTGAGTTCTAAATAGAAACCCATAAAGTCATCAAATCAAATAAATTGTTTAGTTAACATAAGTGGATGAAAAGAAACAGAGCCAGAGACAGAGTGAACGACCACCGTTCGTTTACATATCATATGATCTACCAATCAATAAAATCTAATTAGTTTTGAGACAGAATAGATTAAATTTCATAACTCAATCAATGTCTACATTTTGAAGGGAAAAAAAAAAAAAACAAGGCAAAAAATAGTGCACTACCTCAAAATAAACAAGACAAAAAAAACTCATAATATTAAGCACAGAATCCCAAAGACCTCAGCACAGAATATGATCAACAAAATTAATTTTTTAGCTCAAATTGCAAGCCAAATTGCAGAATAAAAATGAAAAAAAAAAAATTAACTAATGAGAAAGAAATACCAAGAAACAAATATAATCTACCAAAAATACATAACAAACCTCAAATCACCGTTGTGTAGGATCCCTCAAGATCTGCTGGATGTTACACACCACAAAAAACAGAATAAAAAAAAAAATAAAAAAATGAACAAATAAGATAATAACAAATTTGAGCCGGGAGAGGAGGGAATCAACAACCAATGAAAGAAATATATCAAGCACGATAATAACACAAAAATTAAAATCATAGATACGTATGGAGATTTATACATATCAATATACAACTCTAAACATTACCTTCACATCATGAGTATTAAAAATATCTACAAACTAATATGAATAAATTTAAAAACATATAAAAAGGTCAAACCAGAGAAACAACAATTAACATAACAACATAACATGAATAGAATTTTTTGCTCACGACAACCTTACACTAAGAAAAAACAACAAAGAGCATCTCCAGCCCTTACCCTTTACCCATATAAGATTGAATTTCAAAATAAATACAATATTAACCCTAAAGAAAGCAGAACACCAATGTCAAACCAAACTTGGACTTAACCTTTGCTAATTTACTGCTTGGGAGAAAAAAAACAAACAAACAAACACCAAACATAAACAAAAGCAAGAAACAAAAACGAAAAAAACAAGAAAGAACAAAAAAACGAAAAAAATCAAAAGAAAAAACAAGAAAAAAAATAAAAAAATAAAAAATAAACAAAAAAACCAACAAAAATGAAGAAAATCAAACACCATTTTCCCCTTCAAAAGTAGAACAAGAAAGAAGAATTAAAAATCAGGAACAAAAACGAAAAAAAAATAAACACCATTTTTACTTTACTCAATAAACAAATAATAATAATAATAATAATAATAATAATAATAATAATAGAACAAAATGATATACTTTACCTAAAGATATAAAGATGAAGAAACCCTAACTTTATTAGGTAGGATCCCAAAAAAAATGTACACACATTTTTTTTATTTTTTTTTCCTATTTCCCTTGCATCATCTTTAGTCGATTTAGGTATAAAACATCATATTATTCAATGGGGATTATGATTTGAGGCCAAAAAAAAAGGGTAAAATTAGGGTTTGGTCCTTGCAATTTTTTTTTGCAACTCACAAAAACTATTCCAAAAAAACTAATTTCACAAGATGAGAAGGGCAAACTACACTAATAGTCCTTGTATTTTACCTCCTGTGTCACTTTGGTCCCTATCTTTTCAATTGGCTTGATTTTAACCTTTCATTTTTAATTTCGTTTCATTTTGGTCCAATCAATAACCTCTATTAAAAAATTTAACAGAAAATAATCACGTGCACAACATGTGATCATCTTTGAGGGGGCAAAATAGACATTTCAATCCTAACCATTCCTATTCCATCTCTGCAAAACCCTATTCCATCTTTGCAACACCTTTTCTTTTTTTTTTTCCTCCTCCATCGTTTATCATCAATCTCACTCCACCACCGCCACTGCTCCAACTTCACCATCCCCCCAATCGTCTCCGGCAAAGTCCCCATCAACTCGTTAAAACCCACATCAAACACAGTCAACTCCTTCAACAACCCAGTCTCCGCCGACAAACACGACCTCAACCCATTCTGCATTAGTATTATCTCATTCAACGTCTTTGACATGTTCCCTAAACTCGCCGGCACACATCCGTGAAACTTCTTGTTCGCCATTACTATCACCGACACTGGCGTGTTCCCGAAATTGTTCGGCAACTCGAATTGGAAGCGATTGTGGTTGATGAAAATCGCGTCCAAATCTTTGTCGAAAAGTTCTTTCGAGACATTGCCTTCGAACTCGTTGAAACGAAGATCTAAGAACTTCAAACTTGACAATTTCAAAACCACTTGAGGCAATTTTCCGGCAAACCTATTGTTGCTGAGATCGAGCTCAAAGAGGAGTTTCAAGTTCTTGAACTTGTGAGGGACTACCGCAGAAGCAATTCGAGTTGATGTGAAACAATCTGAGATTTGTGAGGAGTTCGAGCTCCTCCGGGAGGTACCCGGCGATGTCGCGGTGGTTGAGATCGATGCTGGCGACGGTCAAGATTGAGGAGTTGTCCAGCGCCCGAGCGCAGAAAACTCTGGTGTAGTTGCAAACATCAAATCCAACCCAATCGGCAATGAGGTTTTGGGGATCAGAGAATATAGCTTCTTTCCAAGCTTGGAGAGCAATGTAGGCTGTTCGGAGACGAGGGTTTGGGAAGACCAGAGATGGACTAACGGTCACAAACTCGCCTCTGTCTCCGAACTCGTCTTTGTAGTACAAAAGTTGTCTTGGCTATGGATGATTTTGGTGGCGGAGGAAGGCAACAGTGGTAGATGATTGTGTTGAAGAGAGTCCAAGAGGAAGAAGAGGGTGAAACAAGCAAAGGGTAGTGAAATGTCCATATTGCCCTTCACGTGTTTGTTTTCCGTCAACAATTTTAACCGGTGTTAACAAATGGACCAAAATGAAACGAAATTAAAAATGAAAGGTTAAAATCAAGCCAATTGAAAATACAGGGACCAAAGTGACACAGGAGGTAAAATACAGAGACTATCAGTGTAATTTGCCTAGAAGAGAAAAACGATGAATAGGGAAGAAAAAAAAATTAAAAACAAAAATAAGATATTGTATGTATGAAAACCCTAACTTTTGAAAAACGAACCTGAATGATGGGAGAGGGAGTATAAGAACTCTGGCAGAAGGGAGAAGTGCAAGAGCTCGTTCACCGCTTAGCTGCCGCGAGCAGATGTCGACGGTGGTAGTAGTCATCGGTGGGTCTTCCTCCTCCGTCTCCTTCGATTTCTTCTCTCTCTCTCTCTTCTCTAGGCAACACGAGCATGATTTGTGTTTTGTTGGTTTTGTTTTTAGGCCTTATTATAAGTAAAGACCAAGGGGGCAAAACAGACATTTCAACACATGAGAAGTTACTGTTCATCCGAGGCAGAAAACACTGTTCACTATACATTGGTGCTTTATATATATTGTATAGAAATAGTGGACTATTGTGACTAAGGAAACCCTGGATAATAGCTCCCATGTGTGTAATGTGGTGCATTTGGAGAGAGAAGAACTGTCAGAATTTCTAGGATGTCGAAACTGAAATCAATTTTGATGCACATGGTTCATTTATGGCTATTTGGGCAATTTTGATGAATCCTCTTTTGCTCTCATTGATTTTGTTGGTGACATAAACAAGAAAAAATAATTTTCACAAAAACATAAAGATGGAGAGGTAAAAGAAAGTGGTAGAGAAGGGTCATTCGATTTCTTGTCTGAGTTGATCCCACTCAAAATCAAACACCCATTTTTTTCTTTAAAAAATCTATCTCTTCTATTATATAACTTAGACTCAAACACCCATAATCTATCTCTAGAACTTTATCATGGTGACGGTGGTGGCGGTACTAGTAAGGTGATGGCGATACACCTTAATTTTAACATGTTTTTAAGAGGTGTGTAAAATTTTAAATGATAGAAATTATATTAATCAAACAAACTTAATTTATTTCAAGTATTGGATTAAGTTATTAAACATCACATATCATGAATTCATCTAAATATTTAAATTATTAAAGAGAGGAAAATCTTTACTATTATTTATATATTATCATGACACTATTTGCACATGATGAGGCTCCAGCTAAAATAGTGCAACAATTATAATAATTGAAAGAGGACGTCAAAATATTATAATTACCAAATTAGTGATGAGATTCCAAGCCACCACCGGCTCTTCCCGTTTCTCCGACTAAAAACACCACCAGCGCCGCCGCGGAGAGGGCATCGACGGCGGCGGCAATCAATCCATCATCAATCCACACACTCGATCCAGTTCGGCTTTCATCTGAATCGTTTGGATCTCGCCGTCTTCAATCATCTCCATTTTCAACTCGCTGGGGGAAGGGGTTGTCGTTTGCGGGAGAAGGGTTTGAGAAGAAGAGGTTGGTTAATTCTGTAGGGTAGGGTCCGTGGTAAAAATTGATTTAAAAACAAAAAAAAATTAAATTTATTCTCTAAAATTTATTTAAAATATAAATTATTCATATATTTTTAAAAATAGTTTCCCACATAGATAGTTAGATAGATAGATTATGAGATTTAGAAAAGAAATAAATATTAGGAGAGAGATTTTAGGAACTTGTAATTCAATTTTTATTTTTTTTTAATAATCTATATTTTAAATAAATTTGAAAAGATGTATTTATAATTTACTTACGTTTTATTTTTATTTTTTCAAAGACTCCTGTTGAACAAAAAAATTCTCCATTACACTCCTTAGATGAAAATAAACAGATGGTTGAAATTGATTATCAAAATGTAAAGTTTAAAATGAACAATTCAAAATTCAAAATTTAATTTGTAATAATAGTTAAACATTTTTAAAAAAAAATTGTAAATTTTTTAATATATTTTATTTTAATTTAACCCTTTATTAAAATATGAATATAACTTTCAAAGATACATTATCAAAGGATTATCCACCCACATAAAATACAAGTAAAAAAAAATCAAATAAACAAATTTCAAGCATTTTCTTTAGATTAATTTCTTGAAAATAAAACAGATTCATCTAGGGGCAATGTACCATTAAATCCCAAAATGAGAAATGTTCAACCATTTAGTCCTAACGTTTTTTTGAAGGACTGATAGGTCCTATTTGAAGTGTAAAGACTGTACTACCCACGTTTTAGGCGCGTAGGGTTCCAACAGTGAGGGTAAATATGGGTTGGTGTTTATGTGCAATTTACCAAAAAGTCTGAAACTGTACTTGGACGATCGATTCCGTAATGGTGAAGACGGTAGGGTTTGTATTTGGGGTTTGATGTTCCAGTGATTTCTGTTGTGGATTTGGCGTGATTTTGAGTTTGGTTTGGTAATGTTGGTGTTAATTGACGAAAGTAACATTTGATTATGTTTGTAAACCCTAGATGCCCAAATCAACATTTGATTGCATATGTCCTCCATAATACGCCGCGGTCATCATGAGGGAGGGTTTGATCAACATTTAATTCATTTCTCCAACAATGAAGGCAACATATACACAATGCCGTCAGCAGAAATAGTTTGCAGAGACCATTGGCGGCAGGTATGGGTTTTTTTTATTTTTGATGTTGGGCTGGGTTTATTTGCCGTTTTGGATTGGGTGTAAATGTAGGTGTTACATTATGTTGTATGTGCGATTGTTAGTTTTGATTGCATGTGTACGCTATGGTGATGTTGTTGTGCGTAGTGTAGTGTTTTGTGTGTTAATGTCAACGCTGTGATGGATTTTTGGTTTTTTGTTCCTCTGAGTGTGACAATTGTAACGGGGATGTCTGCTAGTAAAGTAGATTGGTGGAGCTGTGTGAGTAATCGAAAAGTGGGTGTTGTTTTGTTTGTGGTTGAAACGTTGTGGTGGGAATGTTGGTTGTTTGATAATGCGGGTGGGAGACCCCTGTTTTCTTGTGCATTTAAAATTGCTATTGGTTGTTAATGGTTTTTTTTTTTTAACAACAGTTGGTTTATGTGGTAAAAGTAATGTGTGATATGTGATGTGGTCCCCTGTTTGGGTATGGTTTTGAAAGAGTTATTTATTGTTGTGATAATGTTAATATTACACGTATCGGTACAGTACGTAACTTGGTTGGCACGTATTTGAAAGATGACTGTTGTGTGAGAGTTACAGTGTCATTCAATTGGTGTAATTGTAAAATGATTCGCTTGTTTTAGTGTTTTCATGGAGGTCAGATGTGTTTATAGTGTTAAGGTGATGGGCATTGTACATTGTTGTTCGGTAGTTGATGGATGGTTACACATGGTTGCATATTTGTTTGGAAACGACTAGGTAGTTTATGGCGTGTGAAACAAGTTTGATTTTTTGTATGCTAATTTGGTAATGTTAAATTCGTTGCATGCAGTGTTAACTTCGTTGTTAATGTTTTTTTTTAAACAACAGTTGGTTGATGTGGTAAAAGTACTTTTTGCCACACGTCATCTTCAAAATATCTGATCTGGTCCCATTTTTTGGTATAGTGTTGAATGAGTTATGTATTGTTGTGATAATGTTAATGTTACACGCGTCTGTATAGTACGTAATTTGGTTGGTACGTATTTAGAAGATGATCGCTATGTGTCAGATGTAGTGGCATTCATTTGGTGTAATTGTGAAACGATTGGCGCGTATTAGTGTTTTCGTTGGGGTAAGATGTGTTTATGATTTTAAGGTTGTCACCCAAAAAGCAACCTAAGAGGGGGGTGAATTAGGTTTCTACAAATTAAAATTAATAATATCCCAATAAAATTAACTACTAGTACAATAAATTATTAACAAGCACAATGATGAACTTAGCAGTAAATGATCAAGCAAAAAAACAATGAAGTATAACTAACATACAAGGTAAATCAAATGATTAGCACATGAATATTAGATAGATATAGCAGTAGTAGGAAAGTAAAGAGATTAGGGAAGATGAGACAAACAGATTTATAGTGGTTCGGCTTCAACCAAGCCTACATCAACTCCTCAAGCTTCACTTGAGATTTTCCACTATCTTCTAGCTTCACAGGGGTGCTAGCAACCTCTTTACAAATGGAGCAATCCTCCACAAATTTTACACAGACTTTCTAAGTCTAAACCCTTGCATTCTTTACCTGATTTTTAATCACACTCAAGGAGTCAAGAACACTGAGTGTACTACACTATTACAAGGTTGAAATGAAGTTGTTTTTGCTTTCAAAGAAAGCTACAAGAGTTATTTCTCAAAGATAGATATATAAGATGAAGCTCTGATTTTTCTGTAAACTTCACACAGGTAAGATGAGCTTAAAGCTATATGGCTCAGTGTATAATTTCTGAGAGAAAAATGTAAAGCAAAAATGAAGAATACTTCTTAGAGAATAGATAAAAGGTGAGAGTGATGATTGATCAGAGAATGTTTTCTTGCTTGTATTGTTGCCTATATCTTATTCAGCAAAAGCACTGCTATTTATCAAGGGGAAGATTATGGTGCCGTTGACTGTTGCATGTATTGAAAAGGATTGAGTAAGATTTTGGTTAAATCTACTCACTCAAATTTGCATTCCCTCATTACTGATTAGATCTTGAAGGAGGCAAAGCATAGTCTGATAGATGAGAGCTCTATTTGAAAAATAGCCGTTACAGAATAGAGTGGTCGTCCATCGAATGTCCAAAATGAATTTTGTTCTAGAGGGACGTCTACCCGAATGTCTGGTGGGTCCCGGTCATCAAGGATGGCTTCTGCAGATGTATTTAATCAAATATTAAATACATTCTAACAACATTTAGGATAAAGGTTTAGGTGAGAAATAATGGGACAAAATAAATTTTGATTCTATTTTTCTCTTTCAAATAAATCATCAAAATAAATTTTGGATTCTATTTTTCTCTTTCAAATAAATTAAAACATAATTAAATAAATCATCAAAATAAATAAGTCTAACAAAGGTGATGGGCATTGTACATTGTTGTCTGGTAGTTGATGAAGGGTGAAACAAGTTTTCATATTTGTTTTGAAACGACTAGGTAGTTATGGCGTGCGAATCAGGTTTTATTTTTTATATGCTAATGTAGTAATGTTAACTTTGTTGTAGGAAGTGCAAGTCGGACAACAGCAAGACCCAACACTAAAGAGAGAACTCTACGCTCACGTGCTACAGTGCAGACGTCCACTCATATGGCAACAAAAATGGCAAGCAAAATTGCCATTCAAAAAATATGAAACACCGGCAAGGCCTGGCAGGAAAACAGTTGTAGACACAGCAAAATTACTGTACCGTTCGAATGTTGCCAGTGTGATCAAACTATCCAGGAACTTCAGTTTGGTGATGGGCACGTGAAACAATTGTAGAAGACACCTTTTTGGCTCATGAATAACGCAATCAGAGTACTTAAGTTGGATCCGATTGCATTTAAGAAGTGCGATGCAACCGTGTGCCGTATAATTCAGACGTATAATCCAAGTGATGAGAAGTTCCACATAGGGGGGAGAGGGCTGCCACTACGTAATAGTGACATCCACGTGCTTTTTGGAATATAGTGAGGGAAGGACAAGTTGGATTTGGCGCATGGTGGGAAGGCGCCTTCAGATTTTATCCAACGACGGTGTCCAAACGTCAGTAGGATACGTAAGTTGTGATGTTAATTTTGGTTTTGGTGTATGTATGAAGTACTAAAGTGTGAAGCTAATTGGATGTGGGGGGTAAAAAATTGCTACGTATGCATTTGTAATGGAAATTTATTTGAAGCAGTACAATGAGTGAAAAATTGGTACTAGACATATATGTGTGAATTACTTCATATATGTGTGTCAATGTTCGATGCAAAATTATGCAGTTTGTGTTTTTTTTTTTGAAATATTTGGCATGTGTGACTGTGTTGAATAATTTCACCATGTTACGTTGACGGGTTTGGAATTTTTTGGGATTGAAACATGTGACCCTAATGGTTTTCCACATCAAAAATGATTGGAATGCCGGCAAATGTTGTAGTTTGGTGTGATAAACTTATAACTAGATTAATTGTAATGTAAGTTGATTGATGCTGCTATCGTCAATAAATTATGGGTGCATTATTTGTGTAACAGAGATTAAGATTATTACTGGGTGAAATGTGGGATTGAGTGACAGGTTTTGTAGTGATGTTATTGTGGTTTGTTAGTAGTTTTTTTAATAAATGATTTATTATGTAAACATTTTGGTGTTAACAAGGTTGTATTGTTGTGACGTAGCCGGACAGATTGTGCAATTTTCGTGTGTTACATAATCAAGTAGTACATAGAGGGTGGCGAAATTGGGAAGATAATGGACGGGGAAATGTCAATTGAACTATGTGCGTCAATAGTGAAGATGTTTTTAAATGACTTGGTTAGGGGACTGCGTTCGTTGGCACGTTGATAACGGTGTTCTACTATAGCTTCACACCACATTTTAATTTTGAACAGAGTTTGG